CAGTAACTAAATGGTAAAATGTTTTTATTTCTGCCTTACAATAGGATCCTCAAGTTCAAACTAGAATACTTAGGAGAATAACATCTAATGAAGTATTTTTTAATCTGAGCTAATTGTGAAGTCAATCAGAATATACCCACTCTTCATTTAAGCCAAGTTTGTTCTACTCATTTAATAGAGTTGGCTAAATAGAAACTCAAATAAGTGCTTTTAATTACACTAATTAACAAATGGTTGCATTAAAACATATGAGCTATGTAGAACTAGTTAAAATATAAAGTGACTTTGTGTGCTCAGTAACCAAACAAATGAAGTGGTTCCCCAGAGGGGTAGGTTTTTGTTGCCCTCATAATGTGTGGGGTTCTCTGAGTGTCTCAGATGCCTGACACAGCACCTTTGTGGGAGGGAGAGGATGGGGGGGGTGGAGGAGCTGTGTCTGGGATTAACCTTTCATTCTCTATTCTTAGTGATGTACAACTAATTAGTTTAAAGAGAGAAATAAAAAGGAGACACTGTGTCCTTCTACCACCTAACAATCTATTGGGGATGTTCCATAGGAAGCAGGCCAGCAAAGGATGTGTCATCTTCCTCTGGCACTAGGTTTCACTCCATGAAGGACTTTATTTGCTTAATCTGTCATCTGTACATGATGACTCAGAATGCAGCTTAAAGTCAGTGCCTTAAACTGTCTCCAAATCCCAGGTCAAATCCTAGTGTCCTCGAAACCAGATTTGGACATTCTGAGGGACAATGCGCATATCTGTCCAGAGCCTCGAGACTAGCACTGGAGCGCTGTGGAGACATTCATCGGATGTGCTTTCACTTTTCCTGCGTCTCAGGACCTGGCACACAGCTGTTGGTTCCCAAAAACATAGAGGAAAAAGAATCACAGGAACCACTTTTCCCTAAAAGCATTTGAGGAGCTTAACAAATCCCAGTGCCCATTTAGATGGTGAGGGGTAAAAGGGACCAAAGTCACTCTTACACAGGCAGGAAGTCACACACATGACTCTACGGGATACTATAAAGAGGGAGACTGGAAGTGAGCCACTCCTGACAAGGACTTTCAGCCTGGGATTAACTGACCTGCGTGTTCTGAAGACCTTCAAGCCAGGATCTTGACTTACTTGGTCAGGGTGGTGGTATACTGGCACTCAGCAGAAACAAAGAACAAGTTCTTGTGTCATCCATACAAAGAATTTTTCTGATCTCATGACCAACATGCAATCAGACTCACTAGGAAATGTAACATCATGAGCAGAGTTGATAAACAGCAAAAATAGATCCACAAAGACTCTGTGTTTGTTTATCAAAGAGTACAGTATGTTTAGAAATTAGGAAATGTAGCTCAAGCCCTTTTCACGACAGGAATTACAATATGTCCTGAGCTAAAAATGGTGCAGCCACCTTGAAAAGGAATCTGGTAGTTCTCCAAAAAGTTAAATATGAGTTACTTTCTGAATATGTTGTAAACAGTGTGTAGAAATCTAACAATGACATCTTCCCCCATAGCAGTGTAAGCTAAGAAAACAAAGGGAAAAAATGTTACTTCCTGACCCAGAAATTCCACTCTTAGGAAGACCAAAGATACACATAAATGTGTATTCACATAAATGTCCACAACAGCGCTACTTCTCATAGGAAAAAGTGTGAACGTCCCCATGTCCACCAGTAGGCGGATAGCTAATCTCAGCGTGTATCTGCATGATGGTGTTATACAGCCATGAAAGGAAATGAAGTTCTGATGGAGTGCTACAACATGGTGAGTGCTACCACTATTATGGTGGATGAAAGACACCAGACATAAAAAGCCACATATGGTTATACTTACATGACACACTGGAGACAGACAGTGAACTTGTGGTTCACACAGACTTGGAGGAGGGGGAACGAACAGTAGCTGTGATACAGGTATAGGGTGTCTTTTTGTGGTGAGGATAATGTTCTAGAATTAGTAGTGATGGCTTCTCAACCTTGTGAGTATACTACTCATCAAATTATATCACTTAAAAGGCATTTCACGGTATGTGATTTATATCTCAAACTTTAAAAAAAAAACCTTGTGGGATGCAGCTATGTGAAAACACTTTGAATTAATATAGTAAACTATTCTTGATGGAATAATCTTTGGTTAATTTGCTATTCTTACTATATTTGCTATATTCTCAGTTATTCTTTTTTTTTTTTTTTTGCGGGTCATGGGCCTGAACTCTGGGCCTCTAGCGCTCTACCACTTGAGCCACAGCACCACTTCCAGCTTTTTCCATTTATGTGGTGCTGAGGAATCGAACCCAGGGCCTCATGCATGTAAGGAAAGTGCTCTCCCACTGAGCCACCTTCCCAGCCCCTCTCAGTTATTCTTAATACAGATATGTTTGAAAGTATCTGCAAGAAAATTCACCTAGGAAAATCAATATAGATTTTAAAAGAGCCATGTAGAATTTTGGAAATAAAAACCAGAATAACAGAATTTAAAACATTCTGGGATAATTTAACAGTAAATTAGACATAGCTGAAGAAAGAATTAGTTAACTGGAATGTAGGTTGGAAACCATTTGCCATACATTCATGTGCTATGTTTAAGTATTTGGTGGTGAAGTATGATGTCTACAACTTCCTTTCCTTTCCTTTCTTTTTCTTTTCCTTTTCCTTCCTTCCTTCCTTCCTTCCTTCCTCCCTCCCTCCCTCCCTCGCTTCCTCCCCCCTGCCCTCTCTCTCTTTCTTTGTCAGTCATGGGGCCTGAACTCTGGGCCTGGGTGCTGTCCTTCAGCTCTTTAGCTCAAGGCGAGAGCTCTAGCACTTCAGCCACAGCACCATTTCAGGCTTTTTCTATGTATGAGTTACTGAGGAATCCCAGGGCCTCATGCATGCAAGACAAGCACTCTACCACTGAGCCATCTTCCCAGCCCTGCAACTTATTTTCAATTAACTGGGCAAAATATTCTGAATATACCTTGACTCCAGTTTAGACGTCTCAAAATCAGCTTTCATACTCAGATATGTAAGCTTAACATGTCTTCTCAATTATTTAACAGACATCTGAGATTTCACAAACCCAAAGTGAACTCAAAATTCTCTCAAAAGCTCAGTGAATCTCGTGTGTATGTGGTGTGTGTATATGTGCACTCATGTGTGTGTGCACACATGTGTACAGAATTGTGCATGCATTAGCATGCTTAGCACAGGAAGAGAAATAAAGCAAACATGGATAATTAACAACTGGTGAAGTAGGTAAGGTGCATATGGACGTTTAATGCTCACTGTGCACCCTTGGCTCCCCAAAGCCCCACACTGTCATTAGCTCCTGTCTTAGCTTCCTGGCTCTTCAGTTTCCGATCTCTGGTTGTAACAGCCAAGGTCTCAGGCCTTCAATTTCTCTCCTCTATCATACTCACTTCTTTGGTGATTTTATCTGGCTCCACAACTTTAAGTAGCAACAAAACACTAACGTCTAACCTTCACTCCAGTTTAGCTCTCACAAACTCAGCTTTCATACCCAGATCCTTAAGCTTAACTAACACATATTCTTGGCTATTTAAAAGACATCTGAGATTTAATAAACCTTAAGTGAATTCAAAGTTTTCTCTACCTGCAGCCCTCTTCAGCTCTGTGAATTTCAGCAACATGAATTTCAGTTGCTCGACCCAAGACCTTGAATTCATCCTGGACTCAGTTACCCCTCTTTCACTCACCTTTTGTTCAGTCCATCAGTGAGTCCCTAGCACATCTCACCTCCAACATACCCACCCAACTCGAGCTGCCATCAGTGGATATTACTTGAAACAGCTTCCTAAGTGGCTTCTTCACTCCCTTCCCTGCTCCATGCCCCAGACTCAACACTTGGAACATAAGCTGTAGCATGCTATTTTGTGCCATAAACCTGCCATCTTTTTTGTCTCACAGCCTGCCTTGCCCAGTTCCTCGCTCGCATCCCTGCATCTTGTCCCTGTTTTCACATCTACAAATGACACCACTGCTCTGTCCCCTGCACTCCCAGAGTGTACTTCCCAGGATACTTTGCCAAGTATCTCGTTGTGGTTTCATGGTTTTTGTGCTGACAGTTTTTTCTACTTTTCTACTCAGTAGGAAACTCCTGCTTCAGTTACACAGAGGGATCTGGGCACTAGCATGTTTTAAACGTTCCTCTGTCGTTCAAAATGATCAGGGATTATTCTAGCTTTCAGTTGCTGACTGTTGATGGGAACATGGAGCCTGCCTCTAGTACTACCCTCTCAAACAGCAATAACAGCCCAGGCTAGAGCTCAGGAAGAATGCTGGTCTAGTGTGTGTGAGGCCCTGTCTTTGATCACCAGCACTGCACCATGTTGGGAATTGCTGGACTATAATCCCCAAATTAGGCCATTTTGTCCATAAATAATGGAGGCATTTCTATTTTAAAGGCTGTTTTAATGAATTAAAATATACACATAAGATGGAAAAATATCAAATCTGTTTTTTGAAAGAAACAAAGAAGGCAGCTGACGTGACTCTGCAATGTACAGTAACAATGGAAACCCCTGTCTCATGTCTTCCTTGTTTCAACCTAACTCCCAATATTGTGTGCCCTGAAAAGACTTCTTACCCTTGGTTTGCAGCCCCGAAACTTGCAAGTGAATGTGTGAAATACCCAGACCCCTAGGCCAGGCTGAGGCCTGCTGTGATGAAGCTTTCTGGCTGTGGCTATCAAGAGCTCTCAAATGGTTCTTTGTGATTTTAAATCAACAACTTTCATTAAGTGCTTAGACCATTTTAGGGTAAAGTATAGAACATGGAAGAATGAATTCTCTTGTTTCAAATAGACTAATATTGAAACCTGAAATTATCAAAGGTGATTGAAAAACATAACACGCCCCCAAATGAATCTGTTGATTTGAAAGATACTTAATAAACGTGACAAGGAACAATGAAACCATCACGTCTTTTCCCTCCATAGTAAGGGGAACCTATAAACGTGAACTTGTGGGCCTACATGAGTTCTATGAAAATGGCTACTGACCTGACTAGGTTTGATCTAAGCTCCCCTCAGAAGACTGGGGGTCCGGGGAAGACTTGCTGGCCTGCGAGCCATAGCCACCCATGCTTACCAGATGGCTGCTGATGACATTGAGCTCTTGTATCACCATGCTCAGATCCTCGTGGAGCCTCATCACTGCGCTTTTCACCTCCCCCAGCAGAGCTCCGATGGAGTTGCCTGCTTTGGGCCCCATGGGCAAGACCTGGCTTGTCTGAAAACTAAAAGAAGACATAGAAGGGATATGATCTGCTGTGGGGGTGGAAAACGCAACCCAGCTGTGGCTGGGAATCTGACTGGTCTTCTCTTTAGCCGAATCAGAATCATCTGGAAGCATTTCCTGCAGATTGAGGCTGTCATTTTCTTTCTCATCAGAAGACACGGGGCTCCTGGGAGTGAGATGGTGGTCAGGCCTGCCTGCTTCCTCTCCATGCTTAAAGGAGGCGGAAGATGACCTCTGACGAGACACAGTCCAGAAGGAAGGCCGGGCTAAAATCGGTGGCAAGCAAGGAGCTGACGTCCCTGGAGGGGCTGAGTCAGGAGACGACACGGATAAAGTAGAAAAGGAAGATGTTCCCTCAGAGGTAGTTGAAACTAAAATGCATAAATTAGAAAGATTTATGTAACACACAAGTGAGAGTAATAGCTAGAATAATTTTATAATCTAAATGCCTATGTGGAAGGTCTCAATATAAACTACTTAAAATTTTAAATGTTAAATATTCATAATAAGCATTGAAAACAACCCAAAGCAGGAAATGGAGAAAATCTACAGATGTATTACGTATCAATAGTACCATGAAAGTAACTTAAAATAGAATTATCAATATTCATCTTGACTTCCAAGTCCTGCCCAATATATTTTTACATCACTGTAAACTTTATCCGAGAGAGAGAAGTATAAACTCCTCCTACTGACAGCTAGGACTTGGAGTTGGTATTAAAAGTAGGAAGTCTGATAAGCTGTAACTCAGTCTTTTACCTCCTCTACCCTCAACAACTAACCACAAGTACTCAACAGTGAGTGAAATTAACCTTGTCCCCTTTGTGGTCAAATACACTCAATACTGAAGTGAAATTCATCTGAGATCCACAACACTTTAGCATATAATAGAATGATTTTTCTTACCAAGAAATTATAGTTTATACTCTATTTTGAGGCTTAACAGTTGCTTGTTTAGATAAAGAACTTGAGATCAGAAATCCTTTTCTTTGAAGGCCAAATTTCATTGGTCCTCTTGTTCCTAGTTGTTAGAAACATTCTAATTTTAATTTGTTGTCTATCATCTGCTTTGTCTCTGAAGCATTAGAAGATTTTGAAGCTATGGCCTGGGGACTCTTTTTATTTACTGAAGTCATGTGAGAGTGGGACCTTGAAGCAGACAAGAACTTTCCTTCAGCTTCACATTTTCTTGAATGACTTATTTTGTTCTTTCTATAGTTTCTCCCTCTTTTTTTTTTTTGTCAGTACTGAGGTTTGAACTCTGGGCTTCATGCTCTACTGCTGAGTCATGCCTCTAGTCCTTTTTTGTGGCTTTTTTTTTTTTTTGAAGGTAAGGTCTTGCTTCCTGCATGGGTGTACACCTGGGCAGTGATCTCCCTATTTTAGGCTTCTAGAATGACAGGCATATAACAACAGGTCCAGCTCTTGGTTGAGAAGGTATGTTTTGAACTGTTTTGCCTGAGCTGGGCTTGGCAGAATCACAGCCTCCCAGGTAGCTAGGATTACAAGCCTGAGTCACCAGTGCTTCCATTCTTTGTCTAATCTCTTGTTCAGAAGAGCTTCTGAACTAGTCTTCTAATTTTCCTACTTTTGCCCTTACATTTTCTCTACATTTGTCTCTTTGTTACCCTCCTTGGAGATTTTGTCAACTTTAGCTTCTATCGCTACTGGTGAGTTTTTCATTTTGCTATTATGTTTTTATTCTCCAAGAGCTTTTTTTCTTTTTGTTTGTTCTCTGAAATTCTTGTAACATCCTGTTCTTGTTTTATGGATATCTTGTTATTTTTTTTTTCTTCAAGGATATTACAGAGGGATTTGGGGCTGAGATGTAGCTCAGTGGAAAAACGATTGGCTAGCAAGTGCAACACCCTACATTTGAGCCCCAGTACCAAAAAAGAAGACCAAAAAATACAGCTGAAGAGAATGTTAAAAGTGCTTTCTTTTTGTGGTGTAATTTATTCCCTTGTGTTACTTTCCTTTGTTTTTGCCTCATTGGTCCATGTAAGGAGCTTCCCGAGGTCTGGCACTCTATACCTGCTTATGACTGTGGAGCTGTGCAGGTAAGGGTTAGTTCTAAGAGCATGTTGGGAACTGCTAATATGAGTATCTTCTGCTTTCTTTGGAGGCAGGTGAGGGGCTAAGAAGCATGGTTTTCCTGTCTCATGCTGTGGGGTCAAGGTTGGCTGTGGTAAGCTGTGACGTTTGGTTTGCGTCTGATCACAGTATCTACAACTTCTGCTATCGGCCACGTTTTTCCCTTCAGAGACCTCCAAAGACTCTCCAGAAAACAAGCTTTCTGACCTTACCAGTTTGTGGTATTGGGAAGCTAATCAGGATAATTTCTCACCTCTTGGCAAGATGAAGTCCAAGTTGTTGTTGTTGTTGTTGGTCGTGGGGCCTGAACTCTGGGCCTGGACCCTGTCCCTCAGCTCTTCATCTCAAGGCTATCACTCTACCTTGAGCCATAGATCCACGTCCAGCTTTTTCTGTTTATGTGGTGCTGAGGAATCGAACCCAGGGCCTCATGCATGCAAGGCAAGCACTCTACCACTGAGCCACCTTCCCAGTCCAAGTTCAAGGTTTTAACTGCTTTTCAAATAGGTGATTTCAAATTCTACTTAATACCTACTATGGCCTGAAAAGTTTTATCCTCACACTGGAAGCCTTGCCCTCAGTATGGCTGTAAAGAGGTGGTAAAACCTTTAAGTGGGAGGTGATTAGGTCACTGGAGGTACTGCCTTGGGAAGGGATTAATGTAGTTCTCATAGGATCCAGTTGTTAAAAAAAAAAAAAAAGAGCAAGCTCTTGGGCTGGGAAGGTGGTTCAGTGGTAGAGTGCTTGCCTTGCATGCATGAGGCCCTGGGTTCAATTCCTCAGCACCACATAAGCAGAAAAAGCAGGAAGTGGTGCTGTGGCTCAAGTGGTAGAGCGCTAGCCTTGAGCTGAAGAGTTGAGGGACAGCACCCAGAGTTCAGAGCCCACAACTGACCAAAAAAAAAAAAAAAAAGAGCAAGTCCCCTGAGCCCTCCCTGGCTTTGTGCCTCATCATGTGTTCTTTCCCCTCTGGCATTCCTCCTCCCACGATGCCATTCCCCTATGATGAACCCCGGGGGGCTTACCATATTCAAGCATATGCTGGTGCTTTGCTCTGAAACATTCAAAACCATGAGCTAAATAAGCCTCCTTAATGGCAGAGTATTTAGCCACAAGTATTTTGTTACAGCAATATAATGCACTTATATTGCACCAGACCTGGAATAGGGTGTTTAGCTGTTATTATTGCTTTTGGGGGCAGTAACTGGGTTTGAACTCAGGGCTTCACACTAGGCAGGCACTCTACCACTTGATCCATGCCTCTAGCTCTTACTGCTCTGGTTATTTTTTTTTTATTGTGAAAATACTGTACAGAGGGGTTACAATTACATGGGCAAGATAATGAGTACATTTATTATCAAGCATTGTAGCCTCCTCCTTTGTTTCCCCTTCCCATCCCTTCCCATCCTCCCCCTGCCCCCCCACCCAATCCTCCCCTGCTCTGGTTATTTTTGAGACAGGATCTTTTTTTTTTTTTGCCTGAGTTGGCCTGAGTCCTCCTATTTACATTTCCTGCGATAGCTGGATGATAGGGGTATACTACCATACAGCTTTTCTGTTGAGATGGAGTTTCAAAAACATTTTTGCCTCATTTGGCCTGTAACCTCAGTCTTCCTGATCTCTAGGATTATAGATGTGAGACAGTGTCATATTGCCCCGGAGCAAGCTTTATAAACACTTTTTAAGTGTGAGACAGTGAAATCTCCAAGAGACTAGAAAATCCTTCCCAAGATTGCAAGGCTAAACAAGAGGCAGAGAAGTTGGGTACCAGTGGCTCACACCTGTAATCCTAGCTACTCAGGAGGCTGAGATCTGAGGAAAGTCGGTGAGACTCTTATTTCCAATAAACTACTCAGAAAACTAGAAGTGGCACTGTGGCTCAAGTAGTAGAGCTGAAGAGCTGAGGAACAGTACCCAGGCCTGGAGTTCAAGCTCTATGACTGACAAAAAAAAAAAAAAAGAAGAGGCAGAGAAGGGATTTAGACTCCACTATCTCTAGAGTCAGTGTACCTGATCTTAACCACTACATTATATTTTCATATTATTCTTTTATCTTTGAATTAATTTTACTTCATTACACAATTATGTTAAATTCTGGGTACAAATTTTAGAAGGCAAGCAAGCAGGATAGAATGGGGACTTGACTTCTCCTCCATGGGAGTGGCTGTTGACAGATATGTTAATCTTTTATCTAAGAAGAGATGGAAGAGAAAGGATGAGATGGTACCATACCGTTAATTATCTGGGATAGTCACAAAACTTTAGGAAGAATGCTTTCCATTTCTCTTATGGTGCATGAGTTGAAATGTGATCAGCTCACAAAAGTTGTGAGAAGATAGGTTTCAGCCCAACTACCAAGAGGAGCTTAACCCTGGTGCTCCCTCCGCACACGAAATGTGCCACCTTGGTGAGTGGGAGTGTCTGAATGTCAGGAGCTCACACCAGTGTATGACTCTGGCAGGGGTGCTCCATGCATCAGGGAGCACAGCTAATGAGGAGAGTCTAAGATTTTAGGCCCCCAAATGTATTTTCCAAGTTCTATTCTAGAAGAATAGAATAGAGTAGAATAGAATAGAATAGAATAATTTGAGTTTGCACTGGTTAGAAGGAAGATTTAATAGGATACCTCTAAGTAGGTCAAGAGGGAAATAATATTGGAGTCAAATATTAACACAGTGCTGTCATCTATACAAAGATAACACAGTGATGCTAGTCCCACTCAACATGGTGACTAAAGCCACTGGCACTTAACTTATGCTAGTGGTTTGCAAAGTGTGGTGGCAGCATCACCTGGGACCTTGTTGGATGCAGTTTTTGGGCCCCACTGAAGACCTACTGAGTCAGAACCTGAGGACTGGGCTCAGAGGACAGATTAAATAAAGCTTCAGGTGTTTCTGATGTGCACAGAAGCTGGAGGCCACTTGCTTCCTGCCCTGTGTCCACCCTTCCCTGGCTTTGTGGCTGTACTGCTGACTAAACAGCTCCTTATGTAAGTTCTGCAGCCTTGGCTCGCAGGCCACGTGAAGCTGTTGCTGTGGGAAGCCACTCTTCCCTAATTGCCGCACACCAATTTGCTTTTGTTTCCAAACATTCCACAGCTGCACCATGCACTTCACGCTGTTCTTGAGGGCGTGGCTCTGTTGCCCATTGGGTTCTCCCTCCCTGGCTCTCCACAGAATCCATGTGGGTCTCTTGTTAGCATTCATCCTCACACAGCCTACTCAACATGCAGAAAGTGGCCATGTTTTACACTTTCACTCTGTGATATATGCAGGAC